CATAAAAGCAAGGGTAACTTCTGCTGCACACTTCAATAACGTGGCCTTTAAATAAAAAGATTTCATTATGGCATCTATGGTGTGTTAGATGAACACTCACAAGCATATGAACCAAGAAATGGAACATCATTACTGGACTATAGAGTGTAGCACAGCTCGGACCAGTAGTTAAACTGGTATTTTGTTTTATTGCATCTGTTACATTGTTACATACAAATTTAATCAGGTAACTGGTGGACTCCAATTTGCCTCTGCTCCCTCTTTCTGCCTTCAGCTTTGCTGCTTATTTGTCCAGCAGTATCAAATACAATTTGTGAAACAGTGGCTTGTACATGCATTGCATAAAGCAAAGCCCTGTGCAGCAAGCAAGGAACAGCACATAAGGTGCATGATACATGTGTTCATTTTGAAGTATTTTATACCAGGGGGAAAAAAGCCTTAGAGGCTGATTCCCAACATTGAGTGTGCTTCACAATGCTCTGCGGAGCACTAACACCTGGCATCTGTTTCAGTCCCCCTGTCCATGCCCCCTTTAATCCTTTCAATGGCCCAGCTAGTCTAAAATGACTATTACTGTCCTCAACACCAGATGCCCTCAATAAAAACATGGATTTTATATGAATAAAAGCAAATAGACACCACATTAAGTGCAGGTCTGACCTGTACATCCCAAGTACCTTTTGCTTTATGAGCCCAATGGAAAGATTATTTCACTTCATGCCATCATAAACCTACCACAAAGCACCACTGAAATACAAATCTGGAGTCTGGAAGACAGTTATCCTTCCATGGAAAAGAAAACCAAAAGCAAAATATTCAGAGTTCTACAAAGCAATGAGGAGCTATTAAGCTATTTTCTACAGTGTTTGTCACAGCTGCAACAGATCCTCCTTTTTCTACCATTTTTCTCTGCAATCATCTACCAGACCCAGATGCAATTTTTGACTAGTTTTGCAAAGCAGCAAGAGCTGCTGTTGTACAACCCATGGACTTTGCAGAGCTGGTTACTGCTGAGCTGCTAATGCCAGCTCCATTTATTCTTCTCTAGGACTGGCAGTGACTCACCTCTATGGACTTTTTAAAAATCATTTTCAATTATTACGGATTTAACACCAAGATGTGCTCCAGTTTTACTGACTGGAGCAAAACTAAAGCTCAGAATGCCAGGAGATTATCATGATCCAGAGTGAATCTGGACGATGCAGATTCATTGTAAAGAAAGATGAGCCTACCTGTACTTAGTGGGGGAAAAAAATAAATCCAACATTCCATAACATAAGAGGGATTATTAAATATATGCTTTAAACACAGCTCACACCTTGTGTTGCTGTGGGACTTGTGAATTTGGAGATCTTACTTTACATGTCATTGCACTTTGTCACTATGCTGCATTCCTTCAGCCTGTACCAGTGAATTCCTTCAAATTGATTTTTTAAAGAGCTCACTAAAAGATAGGACAAATTCCCACCACTTCACTTGGAGTACTGCACTTAGTATCACATTACAGGATCTGAGGGTCATGTGATACCTAATCACTGCAATAAAGCTACACTTATCTCAATGAACATACACTCAAGACACCTTGAAGCCCCCACACACTCTTCAATATTTGTTTTTCCTCACCTGGACAGAAAAACTAATGGCTCAGCCCTTGACCACAAGCTTTTTTCCATTCTAAATGAACAATAAACCAACTGCACAAGTTCCCAAATAGCTCATACCTTCATCAAATATCTTTACTCTTTCAGAAACACACAGTTCTGACAGCTATGAAAATATGCTAAATTTGATATTCAAGGAGGTCATTTTTCACTCTCCAATATACAGAATTCATTTGGCACCACGGATTATTTTCTTCCACAGACACACAAAAGTGATTGTGACCTTTCCTTCCAGCCTTCTGTAATAAAAAACTGGTATGAAAGAACAAACTCCCCTGGGAGTTGAAAATAAGTACAGAAAAGCTGACCTTAAAACCAAGAAGCACACACGAAAATAAGAAACACAACTGGTACTGGGATTTAATTCCAACCACAGGGTTTCACCTTCACTTTATCACAAAGTGAAGCCTGTGACCTGTCTAATACTCACACAAGACTCTTGAAAATTAGGACATTTTAGATACAGTTTATACTGACAGCAGCACAAAGCAGTAGCAGCACAAAGCACACCACTGAAAAAGGGATGTCCTGATGTCTGTCACTTATTCTTAATCCTCCTGTATCTATTGAGGGTTACTAATACAGGTCCCAGGCAAGCAAAGCAAAATTACTGTTGAAAAGGCCATGGATTTCACTTAGGTGGACCTAATTCTAAACTTTACTCTGTTTCTTTTGTCTCCTGAACATAAGTTACCCCTGGTGGAAAGGAGGGGGAAAAAAATGCCAGTATGTCCATTTTAGAAATAGAATTTATGCAGACATTTAAAAGCAGCACTACTTTAGAACTTTTTCTTTGTCCAAAAATGTTTTCTTTTCAAAGTAGTATTTCACTTGGTGCCAAGAATTCTTACTCATGGTACAAGGAGTTTCTTGCAGCAGAAAGGGGGCCTGTCTTAAGTCAAAAGACATAGATACTTTTGAAGGCCATCAGCCCAAGAAAGCTGTGCTCTTTGGTGCCACATCTGGTTATGGATTAGTCAGAGGCCTGTACATGTGAACTGCCATCAGTGACTTGTTCATGTTTGTTCAAAAGGAAAAATCTCAAGACCCTCTCGGTTAATAAATTGTAATTCCTACTTAAAGCTAGAAGTGTTTGCTAATAATTGAACTAGGTAATGTTGTAGATCATGCTACAAGTTACATTCAGAGTCTTTCACTCAAATAAGTGAGAATCAGGGTTTACAGACTTCTTACACAATCTACAAGAGATACATACTCAGAGAAGTGATAAGTGTTTTAAATTAGGCTCCACTCCTAACACCAAAGTTCTCCCTGTCCTAAACTGTCTGGCTAAGAATGATCCTTGAACAGTAAGTGCTGCAAGAGCATTTGAAGCAGCAGTGGCCTGGCCAAGGCAGCCCTCCCAAACACAGGAAATCCCACCATGGTTTATTTTAATTGTCCTTTTTTGTACTTCAAATTAGGGCTTTTCTGCTCTGCTGCATCAGTAACAATGTCTTTCTGTTCCCTGCTGTAAAGCCTGACACTTTAACAAATTACTGCTCACAGAAAAAGGAATATGCTCATTTTAGCACACAGTACCAGGTTCCTAAAATGCAGAATAACTTCGAGACAAGAAGTAGTGCCAGGTTTAGAACTGAAATGGCATGGGAAGTATGGAGAAGGTAAATTAGCTGTCAAGCACTAAAACCAAGCCAGTGATTATGACAGTTACCTAAAAAAAATCGGAATTTCCTAAATGAGAAGCATAAAATCTTATCAGCACATGGTTTTAAACGTAGGGTTGGAGTGACAAGAGAAGCACAAAGGATCAAAAGAAGAACAAACAAAAAAACACAGAGGAAAGGAGAGAAAAAACACCGTGAAGGAACATTCTGAACACAAAAAATACACCAAATTGTACCAGCAGCAGCAAACATCCTGGGGTGATTCCCTCCTTATCATTCTCCCACAAGTCACATTTTATCAGAAAGAGGAAAACTAAGTGCAATTGCCTTCACATTGTGCTTCACCTCTAAAGCTTCTCTTTTGCCCATGGGATGTTAGAAGTTATTTAGATCGCACCACAGGTAGTGACACAACTACAGGACTCCTGACAACTATGTTTAGATAGACAAGTGTGTTAGAAAGGTGGAACTGGCATTACATTTAATTTTATTGTGTACATGGAACACCTTTGATCTTTCAAGACAGGCTGCTCCCTATCAACTTTGCATTGTTTTGTTTTAAAAGGTGTGTTTAACAGGTCTGTGACACACAGTCAATACATCCACCTGTGAGAGGGAATGCTCAAACCAGGTGCTATTAAAGATTTTTCTGCACTTCATCTGCTCCCTACTCCACCCCAAAAAACAACAAAGAGCAAACAACTTGCAGCAGAGCCTGAAAATTAACCTGATGGGGCTGAATGAAAGCAATTTCACAGCCGCAGACTTTTTGAAATTAAGTCAGGGACATGTTCCATCCAGCCACCCAACCGAGTGCTCCTGCGCTGTGCGAGGGGGCAGCTGTCCTCCCAGCTTCAATTCAGCTATGATTTCTACAGCTAGAGAAACCTGTTAATCTTAAAATTGCATCTGGAAATGAAATAGTTCAATGTGTTCCCTTCCAAAAGACTGGTGGCAACATTTTGCAGAGGATTATACTTTCGGTTTAGGGTTTATTTCCAACCACAAAAGCCAAAATAATCAAACACAAATCTTGATACCAAACCCAGAATGCAGATAATCTCTTTGTTTATCTAAGCCAGTATTACTGCTGGGGAATGGATCACTACAATCCATAAGTCAAGAAAACACCTCACCCATCCCCATTTGCAGGCAGCAATGGTCAAATTCATTTGGGGGGCTGGACTAGATGATCTCTAGAGATCCCTTCCAACTCTGACAACTCTGTGATTTCAGCTCGGTCTAATGCCTGTCAGCAGACAATTACTGAAGCCATCTTTAAATGAGTAAATTTCCATCTTTTCTCTCTCAAAAAAGAGACAGAACACATTAGGAATATAAAGTTGTCCTTGCTTGTTTTCTTTCTGCAAAAGTGTGACTGGACTTGCATTATAAAAGGTGTTTTCTTCTGGATTTGCTGTGGTCAGACAGTTATCTTTGCTCTTGTCACACAGTGACCTGCTAAGCTGTCCTGCCTGAATTGCAGTTCAAAGCCCTACAGCTTTCCAGGAATTTGCTTTGTGTGGCCTAACTCCCTTTTCATCTTTTTTTCATCTTCACTTTTTCTGTCACCAATCTGAAGACAAAATGCTACATTCTCCCGCACAGTTCCTGCTGCCACAAAACCAAGTCCCACTACATCCACCAGTCCACCCAGTTAATAAATGGCATCAGCTGCCCTGCCTCGGCACAGGCAAACCAAGACTCTTACCTGCTCGGGGCTCTATTGTCTTGTTGGAACCTGCATCCATGAAGATAAACCGTCCACCTCCAAAGTCCTCAGTGTAGTCAGAGAGATAGAGCAGTGAAGTGTAGTCAAAAGAGCCATAAGTTACCTAGGAGGAAGACAAAATTTCCAAAAATTACCAACTTCTGCTCTGATCTCTGCAGAGCACAAATAATTAAACAGGCAGACCTGATGAGTTTTTCTAATTTTCCCGTTTTCACATATTTGATCAAGGGGTCTCTCAAAGCTAAGAAGATTCTTCTCAAATTATAGATGTTTATTAGTCTATTCTATGCACCTACACACTACATACAAGGCTAGCATGTCATATTTATTGCTTCTGTTATTACACCTTCCACAATAAAAGTGCTCCTATTGATTCATATTCTGAGTCTACTCAACAGCCAGCAAAAACCAACAGTGTCAGAAGTTACACCTCTGCATTGTGTCAGAAATACAGAGCTCAGATCTCTTTATACTATTTCAAGGTAAGATTTCACCATAAGGGTGATAAGATGCAAGAACAGGCTTCAACGAATTAATTAATTAACTAATGATGGTTAGTATTTCTGGAAACCCACTTTTTACTTTCATCAGCTGCCATGCAGGAGCTTCATGGTAACAGAGAATCAGACCTTCAAGTAAACACACATTTGTTGGAGGAACTCCACTCTTCTCCACACAGGTTTTGTTTGAAAACCTTCCAACATGATTTTCTAAGTCTCTGCTTTTTCTCACCCTACAAACAAAACACCTCATTTTTAAGTATAACAAGGTGATTTTCCTTCCTTTTAAAGTATTATTTTTGCTCCATGTATATACTGAAGAGAAAGAAAAGAAATACTACATATTAATGCTCAGAGTGAAGCTATCTAAATATTTAAGAGTTTAGATGACTGAAAATATTTCCTTTTCATATCTACATGTCAGCAACAATTAAAAATATTCTTAAAATCAGTGGTTGCATTCTCCAATTACTTCACAGTGTATCACAACTCAAGTTCCTCATTACACTGTCAAACAGTGACGTGCAGCACAGTAGAACTGTATCAATATACAACATTTGCAGAGTGTTTTGACTGACCTGGTGACTGTTAGAGGTAGGTGCTACTTCCAAACTTAGACGTTTTCTAAATATTTTCAATTTGGTTTCAAGTTACAGTCATTAGTGCCAGTTACATTTTGGCTCAACAGCAGTTGTACATGTTATTCTGTGAGGGCAATGACTAAAGAGAACACAGCAGCAGATGGAACAGGAAGACATTTTCATTCTTACTCATTTTAGTACTTTGACCATAAGGGCTTAAAAGGAAAAAAGCCAAATCTGGTGATATGCTGCACAGTCCAAATCATAAGACTGAGAGAAATGTTTTTGTCCCCCCCTTCTCCCCACACTTCCCCAAACCTTAGTAGCAATGTAAGGCAATACATGGGAATGAATTAACACATGGTGCTGCAGCACCTCAGAACTGCTCTGCAGTCCTCCTCCTGCAATCAGCTTTGCAAAGCTATTTTCCCCTTCATTGAGCTGGTGATAAACTTCCAGGCAGTTTAAGGAAATCTTCCAGCCAGTAAAGGCACCAGAATAATTCAATGAGAAGTTCAACTTACACTTGCAAGTGTAATGTACTCATTTTTTTAATGAACTCTTCAGTGGTGCAGCAACCTTTGTTCCACAAGAGCACCCTCCATCTTCTCCAAGGTGGCTTTAGTGAACTTCCTGAATTCTGAACTTGTAAGAGCTGACTACAAAGCATTTAGCCTAACCAAACATCTGATTTCTATAGATGATTAATTTGAGGAACCAAAGATGCCATGGAAATTGTTCCTGTTCCTGCTTTGTTCACCACTGACTCTCAAAAGGCATTTCAGGCCTGGGAAGTGCACCACTGTGGAAAAGAGGTACTAAATTGCACTCAGTTATTTAAGATGCTAGTAGTACATGTACACCAAATGTATTTATTACCCTGATAATAATTTCCAGTTTCAGGAAGGTTAATAACTGAATCCAAAGTTCAGATGGTGAGAAGAAGCAAAGTTCAGAAGGTGAGGAGAGCTGCCAGTAAAATCAGGTGATAAGCTATGGAGGAACACTGCAGCTAACCACATTTTTATAGCTCCATGTGAACAACTTAATAGAAAACAAAAAGCATTTCCATTCAGCCTGAGCCTTCATACAGTTAATGTGCTCTTCTGGAGCATCCTTTACTCAAATAAATCAAACATGGCTAAAAGGTAATGGTAGATGCTCATAATGATATTTATATGATACTTCCTTAAAGGCTATGGTTACAAATGCAACTGTTGGGATTAGCCCAGAGGGGCATGGACAAGCTGGAGAAGTAGACCCAAGTGAACCTCATGAGGTTCAACAATGGCAAGTGCAGTGCAGGGTCCTGCACCTGGACCAGGGCAACCAGAGACATGAATATAGGCTGGGGGAAGACACGCTGGAGAGCAGCCCTGTGGAAACAGACCTGGGGGTATCAGTGGGTCAAAAGCTGGACATGAGCCACCAGTGTGCAGTTGTAGCCCAGAAGGTCAACTGCATCCTGGGCTGCATCAAAAGAAGTGTGGCCAGCAGATCCAAAGAGGCAATTCTGCTCCTCTACTCTGCCCTGGTGAGACCTCACCTGGAGCACTGCATCCAGCTCTGGAGCCCTCAGCATAAGAGGGTCATGGACCTGTTGGAGCATGTCTGGAGGAGGGCAATGAAAATGATCAGAAGTCAGACTGGAAAGAGGGGAAAAAGGCTATAAACTGGTCATGAACAAGTTTACGGCAAAAAAAACCAACCAAATTTGCACGGAAGTCCTGGAATAGCTCCAATAGAAGAAATTCAAAGAAAACATCCCAAAACTGATCTTATGAGGGAGCCTGACAACTCTGTGAAGGATGACAGGATCCTCACCCAGGCAGGGGACTGCAGAAATCCTCAAGTCTCACATTACTTCTCTTAGAGAATGTTCTAAGACTGTGTCAGAGCTGAGCCTGCAGCAGCAACTCCAGTATAAATCAGACATTTGACAGGCTCAGCTCCAAACAAATTCCATGCAAGATGAAACTCCACATCTTAAGCCAACACTCTCGTTTGATTTAGATGCTTATAAATTGAACAAGATTAAATGAGTCATTTGAATAACTTCAGGGTCTCCATTCCTATGTAACTAAAAACCAAATAAATTTTAGGGAAAAAGCCCAAAGCCTCAGAAATACAATAGATCTGTACTACTCCATTCTGCAGTTAAAAATCTTCCAAACCAAGGACATTCAGATTAAGAAACATAATTGCAACAGACTTGCCAAGAGAGGGAAAATGCAAGAGGGGTATTTGTGTGCTCCAAGAAGCCTACATCTTTGAACCAACAGTGCCAGACTTTGAAAGAAAAAAAAAAAAGTGTCCAATTCATTTTTCAAAAGCTTAACTTTACCTTTTTGGAAAGAGGCAGGGGAAAAAAAAAATAATGAAGTCTTCTAGGAGCAACCTGCACCATTTAGTTATGCAGAACACACAAAACTCTATTCCAAGGGGAAAGCATAAATAATTCTACAGCACAAAAGCATCCAGTAAACTGGAAAATATTAAAACATGCTGAGTTTTAGTGATTTTTTTTCTTCAACTCTTCACACTTATTTTGGAGATCACATAAGAATATTACTGTTCTTATCTGGGAAGTATTTTCTACGTCAGATCAATAACAATGCTTTGCTTTCCCTTGCTTTCAACTGCTGTCTGGAAGTAGCAAACAAATCTTAATTTGTTTGAGAAATTAAAATACCAGGCAGTCTGATTTTCACAAGCACCAGTTATCAAACATGTCTGTTTAATGCAAAATGACTTTAAAGTGATCTGATCATAACAGGAAACATTTGCATCCCATCTCAGCCTGACTTACCTTGTCAATGTGAGGGTGCCAGTATTCATCATGTGTTGTCTTGGCTTCTGTGTTGTTTATTCTTGAGAAGAAGGTTGGCTTAGTCAGGTACATGGAAGCAGAGCTGATACCAAATGCCTGAGCAATCTTTTGTTGAATTCTCTTTCTCACATCACTACAAAGAACACAACAGAAAAATGTATGTACTTGACATCTCCTGCTTCTTCTGTGTTCTCCTTCATTCATTGCTTCTTCAGAGCTAAGCTTCTTCCTTAGCTAATAATGAGGAACATAAACCCATATTTTCTCTCCTTTTGCCTTAAATAAAAATCTGCTACATCAAAAGACACCCCTCAGTCTTTTGTATTGGGGCTTGTTATTTTGGCTTTTTTATTCTCAGAATACGAAGAGAAAAAACATTTGTTTCCTGTGGCCTAGGTTTTAAATTTTTTTGTATGAACAGTCTGTTTTCCTGAAAAAAAACAATCCATGCATATCTGTTTATTAACTACTGACAATAGTAACATCTTGCACACATTTTAAAACCAAAGCAGATAACTAGAAAGTTGCATATTTGTAAAGGCTTGACTCTGAAACACCATCAGCCATTTTTACACTAATTTTAAGTAACTGGTGAAGTCTCTGGCACCATGAAACTCAAAGTTCTTGGTCAACATCTGTACTGGTGTCATAACCAGATTTTTCTATTAAATTAATCTAAAATATCTTTCCTAACATTTAAAGATTCAACCAAACTATTTCTACCTTGGCTAGTCCTGTGTTTCTTGGGCAACAGGAAGAACAGGGTCTTTATTTGTTAAGACTATGAAACCAGAATCACAGAATCCTAGGGCTTGGAAGGGACCTGCAAAGATCATCTAGTCCAACCCCCCTGCCAGAGCAGGATCTCCCAGAGCACATCACACAGGAACATGTCCAGGGGGGTTTCAATGTCTCCAAAGAAGGAGACTCCAAAGCCTCTCTGGGCAGCCTGGCCCAGGGCTCTGTCACTCTCACAGCAAAGAATTTCTTCCCGAGATTCACATTGAACCTCCTATGCTCCAGTTTGCACCCTGGAAGACTGCTAACCACACACAAGTTCCCCTACAGCACTGCTCCTCTAACAGCAAACACACCTGCAGGGACAGGTGTCACTGAGCAGGGCCAGGACTGAGCCCTGGGTCAGACAAGAGCACTTGTGAAGAGATTCGTGATTCAAGAGCAATACCACTGTTGCCTCCCACCAGAAACCACAGCTGGTATTTAGCTGTGAGGAAGTTTAAAAAATACCAGCAAAGAATGCAATAACACAAGGAGATTAAATGAAAACATTAGGGTTTAAGTTTTAATCCTCAGTGCTTCTTAAAATCTTTATATTGCTTTCTCCCACTTTTAACATGTTCTTTCCCATTATATTAGTCTTACTTTCCTTCCTTATTTGCTTCAAAAGCAGCACACAAATAAGATACCCTGAGCAAACACACTTCTGAAGTTGTGCACAGAATTACATTAGCAGTTCAGCATCTCTTCTAAGTCAGGTATTTCTCCTCTGGGCACTACTGAACTGCAGCATAATTTCCAAGGAAGTTTTTCCCCAAGTATTCTCCAGTGACCTACAGTATTAGGCTGTGACAATCATCTCTTAAAAACTATTTCCCCAAGTACTAAAAAGAATAAATCCTAAATATTAATTCTGTTCACATCTTGTCATTCACCAACAATTAAAGAAATCCACATAGAGATTACATTTTTAACCTGACTCACTTTACATTTTGAGGTGTCTAAACTTTAGGAGTCAGTTCAAGCTACTTTATATGTGAAAATCCAAAAATCAGTAAATGACAGAGCTGAGATTTTCAGGTATTTGCATGGCTGCATGAACTGAGGTTTCAAGTTCAGAGCCACATAGTGGTAGTTAGTAAAACTGACATCAGGAAAGGATCTCCAGGTCCTTCCTCTCATGTGGGTGCCTGATCTTGTTTTCTGTTTTCTTTCCAAGAAATAGGAAGGACTTCAGCAGAGGCTGCCTTATGTTTCCCAGAAAGCTTAGATGTAATTACTCCTTTCACTTCATCATGAACTGAGGGCAGCTGGCACTCTGAACAACCTGAAGCCAGAATTAACAGCCTAACCCACAAATACTACAGCAGCATATTCCCTGGCTCTGACACCAGGAGGCCACTTGAACCAGCCAGCTGGAATACATCTACCCTGAAGTAGTTAGGCTGCAGTCTTGACATAACTTTAAATCTCCAGTAATTGTATTGCTCTCTAAGCAGCACTGTTTCCTCTTTCAGGCTGATTCCTTTCCCACTTGTCAAAGCCTCCCATTAAGATTTGCTGTCTAGTGCCTGTAAGGCCCCATTCAGGCTTCACTCCTCTTTGAGACACATGAACTGGCTTTGGGCAAGACTGCAAGTTTTACAAACCAAGCAGGAAGCAAAGCTCTACTCAAACCTTCCTGCTAGACAAAACCAGCAACCAGGAGTTGGCCAGCCAGTGGATTATCAAAAGAAAAGGAAAATAAACTCCTAAATTCAAGTATGCAAGCATTTTTCATAAATTTCTTTTTTTCCTGTTTATAAATGAAGTAGACAGGGGAAGTGGTAAATAGGAAGGCAGCTCATGAAGCAGTTAAGGTGACAAATCTAAAGGTGTGTTTGTAGCTGCTACCCTGGTTGCTGGGTGGTATCAAAAAGCACAGGCCAGAATCAAGGAAAGGCAGAAAACTCACTGAAATGCCCCCCTTCTGTAAAAGCAGTTAGTGAAATTGATTTTGGAGTCAGGATGATGAGGAAAAAAAACCACAACAATTAAATAGGTAGGAGTCTAAGAACATAGCATTTAAGAGAAAAGATGTTCAGTAGATTGGGAAGTTGACAGCATGATGTAGCAGCAGCAGCATAAAAGACTGAGTAGAACTTAATGTGACACAGAAAAGTCTGTCTAAGATACAAAATGCAGCAAAATATGCAGTGTTAGGTGTCCCTGCAAAGTGTGGTGACAGGAACACTCAAAACTCTGCAAAACTACACAGTTTCTCTAGCCCATTTGTCAGCATCTCCACACTGTTGCTACTGAAAGGCATCAAAGGCAGCAGATGCAGGCAAAGCAACAGTTCCACAGCAGAACATCTTCACAGAAATCATACACAGAACAAAAAAAAAAAAGGGAGAAAGCAAACTAGCAGCTCTTCCTCTGCTCTATGGCTCTACTTTGATAAGCCAGAGTGGAACAAATCTCTGCTATTGCTATTTTCTGCTGAAGCCACAACCCTTAAACCAAGCACTCAGATTAAAGGTCTCTCTTCTGGATAAAGATGCATCTATTACATGAAACAAGAGGAACTGCTGTATGTGTTTGACAGATGGTGGTTAAAGCATCAGACTAGAAATCATAATTGATTCTGAAACAACATGATTTTGACAGAGACCATTTAGAAACCAGTCTCCTGGCTCAGGATGCCTGCTCAGATTTGTTATTGGTGCAATCAGTAATACTTAAGACATGAATTACATCTTGTTATTTTCTCAAGAGTGTATTTTTAAACTGACCTGGGTAGGTAAGTGAAAGTAATGAAGAGAAATGCTTCCAAGAATAAGATAAAACCACTCATTAAGGGCATAAGGTACTACAGACCATGCTAAAGCACTGCCATTAACAGAAGCACTTAATAATATATTGTGTAGCAATATATTATATCATATGCAGCAGACTGAAACATCCCCTATATCAGCATGAAATACCAATGGAATATTCATGTTGCCTGGCAGCTGGCTCAGCTCAGTGTAAGGATCAAAAATTCATAAAGATTATTAAAAAACTGAATGTTTCTGTTCACGTGAAGCAGAAATACTCTTAAGTAAAACAATCCCTCCATACACATTATTTTTACAGATTCTTTTGTCTTCTACAGAATGGTAGGCAAAACAAAGACTGTTTTCAAAATACTCTCCCACTATCTTGGTGAGACAGAAACTAAACATTTTGTTTAAACAGTCACAGTTCTATAATAATCAAGGAAGCATCTAATTTTTTTATGATTTTGTGGGAAGTAAACATATTTTAAAGAAGTTAATCTGTAAAGACAACAGTATCTAAAAAATGTCAGATAAAAATAAGCTTTAAGTGGTTTATAATTAAAGACAGATAAAATTACTCTAACAAAACTAATAAGCCTATTGGGCTACTTAATAGTCCACCACTAGAGGGAGGCCCTTTTCCTTCACAAAGGCAAGAAAAAGGAAAAAAAGCGAGTTCAAGTGTTCAAGCCAAGCACATTTCCAATTATGACTGAAATACCTAACTAATGATTTATTGTGTCAAGTCAACCAAAACTGCTTGTTCCTGAACTCTGGCCACACACCTTCACAGACACATGGAACTTGTTAGGTTTGTTGTCTTCGTTAAGCACACGAGCAGGTCTACAGGAAAGCTAAAAGCATCAGATGCCAAAGCTATTACATTATAACACTGTTTCATATTCTGGCTTCTTAGAGGAAAGCATGCTCTGCTTCTCTAGCCAGAACATTAGTAATACCATTTTTAATGTTTTGTTACACTTCTCCCCAAACCCCCCCAAGTTCCTAAAGTCATAATAGCACAGGATGGACTTCATTATCTAACAAATCTCTTGGATAACACGTGTGAAACAGGAGTTAGTGCTGAAGGATTTTACATCCCAGCTACAATGTTCCAGCCAATAGCCATAGAACTCACATGAAGGAGCTCTTCTTGCTTGCAGGGTTGGCATCAGCCCATGACACAGAAAGGGAAATGTGTGGAGCTGCCATTGTTCTGATTACATCTACACCACCAATACTGCCTTCATTTAAGTAACGCTTATAGATCTTGTTTATCAGGTAGTCACCAAGAGGTCCTTTTACTTATTTTCATCAAGGCATTTTAACTGGCAGGAATTATTATTTTGAGCTGCAAAATTAATGGTATGTCTGAATCTCAGTGACAATCCCCTCCCAACATGCACCCTACCACAAAGCCAGCAAGTTTGTTTTGTGGTTCATTCAGCAGTTACTGAACAATCTTTACCGATATAATGCAAAGTCCTCTTCTGTGAAGATGTCTTGAACTTTGTCCCCAAAGTACCTGAAAAATTAAACAGTCAGAAGGAGCTGCTGAATCAGATTGCCTGAGTAATACCAAGATGCATTCTTACTCCCATCTGCACTTTACCCACAAGCAGAAAGTAAAAATACAAGAAAAAAACAAACTAAAAATGCTTTTAAGCATGATGCTCCAAAAGCATTGCTAAGAGGTTAAATGTTAAAGGATTAAAGGATCAAGATGCAGCAACTGACAATGGAATTTGCCAGGCATGAAAAGAGTCCCCTCCCACATAATGAAATAAGCACATGGAGTCCAGACTACTTGATTTCTTCCACCACTAACAAACTAGACTATAAGCTGAGAAAATATACTGTTAATTACTGGTGTGAAAAGAAAGGTAATGGTAGCTCTCAAAGAGCCCAGGTCAACAAAAGATTGGTTTTCATGCCACAAAAGCTTTTTAACTGGTCATAGAAACTGTGGTGAATCTAAACAACTTGTACAGTTTGTCATTATTAACCTCAGCTTACAGGGCTTGAGACATTTGAAAAGGGAATGAGCACTGAAGGTACAGGGTAACAAGAGGGACAACAAGCCACAGCCCCATTTTACCTGTACAGATTAACAAAGTGCTTCCCCAGTGAAAGAGCTCCAGAATGCAAGTCCAAAATTGATGCCTGTGAAAGGAAACAAACAAAAAAAAAGGTAGGAAAAGTGAGCATGAAAAGGTTCTACCATTGTTAACTATGACCTCTCACTCTCCCATGTTGGCTCCTGCTTTCCACAGCCTGGCAAGTAAAAACTGGGTTCACAATAGTAATGCTTACTTTACAGCTACAATCCTTCCTCCCTTTGTTGTATATATACACAAAATATTAAGGTACTAGGAAAAGCATGGAATTGCTATTCCTGAGATTCAAATCTGACACAGAATTGCCAGAGTTTTCCTCCATGGGCTAGAGGTAAGACAAGAAGAGACTCAGGAACACAGCAAAGACATTTCCCTTCCACACAAAGATGATTGATTTTCCAATATTTGGGAAGCACTCAAATAGCAGCACTAACATTTATCCTGCCCAACATTTATTATTAAAACTTCTCCTTCATGAGGTCCTGTATACTTCTCGTATTTAATATGGACATAAAAGTCTGTTTAAAAGAACAATTGTAATTCTAATGCTTGCTAAAGCCAAACTTTCTTTTTCTCAATTTCTAAACCACTGCAAGAGAAAACCAATGAGTGAAGAGTTTCTACATATAAAAATCCAATCCATTTCTTCACCCAATTCAAGCCAAACATTTCTGCTGAGCTCCAGACCAAGCTAAGAAGATTAGCATTCAGATTTGTCAGGGTAGAGAGCTACCTCTCAGGATTCTAAATAGTTTCTCTAAATCAAATAAAGTAAACTTCTGTATGTCCCTTGCTGTCCATAAAATACATGTTTGCTTTGCATCAAAAAGCATTTTAAAGTATGACTGCTTAATAGCAGCCTTTTTAATACTGGAAATATCAAGCAGCAAAAGCTGATAAACCTGACTGATAAACCAAAGAAATGACATCTTTGACATTCAATATCCAGGCAAAAACACTCACATTGGAATTTGGCATTTCTTGAGGCACCACATGCCATTCACATTATTCTAACAAAATCCAAACAATAATGCCACCAGGTGAGCTGCCTGGAAAGAATGAAAACTTTCACCTTACTAGCAGGGCCAGGCCAGCACTAGTTTCACCTTCACCCCTAGTCTCAGAGCCCTTTTCTCCCTCCTCCTCTGGATCATTGTGGAGGAAGAGAGACCCATCATAATCTCTCAGCAAAAGAAAGCTCCTGCAGGCTAAATTGCTCTGAGCTTCAGGGCTGAATCAGAGAAACTTCACTAAAGTCCCCTTTTAAATGAAATTTTCAACTGCTTAAAAGAAAAACAACCTTATGTTAATAAACCTACCCAATAATTTGATTTACTCCTTGAGTAAATATACAATATATAATATACAAAGTAACAAGTTATTCAAGTGGACACAGCACAAGCTTTGACCTTCTCTTCCCACAGTTCTCCAAAAGCTTCAGAGGACACTCCCAAGAACAGTAGCTATTCATAGATGAAAAGGTAATAGCCTCAATATAAAGCCTAGATAAGCCAGATGAAGACAACTGAAAAAGCAAGAATATTCATGGTCATTTCAGAGAGGGGAAAACAACGTCTAACGTTGACAGAGGCTTGATTAATGCATGAGCACAAAGCTGTTGAACAGCTTGGAAACAACCTTGGGAGACTGAAACACTTACTTTGGCCTCTGCCATCAACAGCTTGGAAACAACCTTGGGAAGAGACTGAAACACTTACTTTGGCCTCTGCCATTTCAGAACATGAAACATTTTCATCATCATTTCCTACACTGAAGATAATGCCTTGGTGGATGCCTGAGTCAACACCATGACTTCAAGTTCAGCTTGAAGATCAAGGGTCAGCCTGCAATTCAGGTCCCAGGCTGAAAGCTCTACAAAGTTTATCTGAAGGTGGCAGGAACACTGCAGACACACATACACACACACCTACTGCCAAGAAATTGTTTAACAGAACTACCCCAATATCCCATTTACAAAACTTGTATAAAAAAGAAATTGAACTTCCTTTTTCAAAACAACACAAATAAATGTTCTTTTGGACCTTCAGTATCATTAGTCCCACATTCTCCACCCTCTCATTCCTAAAAGGATTCAAAAAGAACATGCAAGTAACCACCACGTCACAGCATATGGCAAAAGGATCAATTTCCCCTTCTTGCAAAGCATGACAGACCCTGCCTTTGGTCCTCAGTGAAAAGAATTGCCAACCATTAAATACATATTCACTCCTACAGCAAATCCTCCACCCCTTAAAAAGTTTGAAGTGCTATTTTTAAGGAAAACAGCACACTCCCCAAAAGAGAAGAATGCAAAAACTTACTTCTACTTGCCTACAGAGGAGCTGGTAGCACTCAAACCCTTCCCCTCCACTCCTGGGGGAAGACACACACATTGAAGCTGAGAAGAAGGAAGAACAATGGAGGTCCTACAGGGACACCAATTCCTGGGCAGCATCAAACCTGCAGTCAATGCAGGCAGGCTCTCAAACCAATCCCACTCTAAATACCCTTCCCCACCTGAATCTTGAGAGCAGACAGACAAGAGTTACCTTCTCAGGGTAATGCCTCTCAACAGTTACACTGATTAATTATGAGATACCAGTGCAACCAATCTAATTGATCCATCATTCAGATGGCTGGAGGGGCAGGTTATCCCTGTGAAAATTAAATGCAGTATTTGGCAATGAAGTCCAGTATTTACATGAGACAGAGATTAAACACAACCAGTTCCTCTTGAGTACAGCCTAGATAATGACCCAACACCAGCTGTAAGTAAAGTGAAAGACATCCTGCCAAGTTCAGCTTTCACTCTTGAAGTATGTGTTTCCTAAGTGCTATTAGGAGGCTAATGAGAATGTGCCCTGTAGTAGAAGAGACAGGACAACTGTTATGCAGAAGCTTTATCTTCTCTCTGGAAAACACAGCTGACAGCATTTCCCGGACTTCAGAAGTTTGGTTGGGAGGGCTGAAAGCAGAGTAAGGAAGGATGTGGTCTGCAAACCCCCTGTTCTACCCATGGGTTGGTGGGCCCACAGCAGAAACCCTTGTCTGGCATCACAGCTTCACAGGTGGTTTTCTTCTCCCAGTGATTCAATTAATTTTCCCCTGCAAAAGGGAGGTCTAAGCAGCTACTCCTGCCAGCTTTGCTGCACCACAAGGAACAGACTGCAGCTGCCTGGTGCACCATGGGATCTATTTTCTAGGGCTTCTAAATAACTGCCAATAGATCTCATAGTAAACAAGTGATTTCCTTTACACCAGAGAGATGTTACTACAGCAGCACCTACAAAGACATGAATGAATGAGTCAAAGTGGTGCCACTAGCAGAGGCAGTGTGCAAGGAAATACTAGGTAATGAAGAAAGGGAAATAGCATTATTTAATAAAGAAAAAACTAATCTAAAGCAAGCATCAAACTGCTGCAATTGACACACTGAATAAGGAACAGAGTATAAAACTATTTTACAGAGCCAGGGATGTGAAAGGGAAAGCACTGGGGGAGAAGATGCTCCTGTTTGGATGCTGTTGAAAGCTAGACTAGAAGATTACAGTGGCCTCTGGTAGCCTCACTGTGTGCGCATAAATACAAATAAATCCAGGAAAAATTACAAAGGGAGATAAGAGAGAAAGCTCAGCATGACAAGTGGGGCATGACTTCTGGGAGATTTCAATAATTCAGATGTTTGCCAGGACTTTCTCAACACAAAAGGAGGGAAAGGGAAAAGTGTTTGTGCTACACTTCAGTCCTCCGAGGAAGATGAAAGGGCAGCAAACAAAGGGAGGAGGAGATGATTGACAGAGTCACAAACTGCAAGTTTAGGTCTTTAAGTTATTAAATTACATCGGGACATGCAAATCCACTTCTGTGAATTCAAAATATAAGAAGGATGATGGACAACAACAACAAAAACCAGACACACTGCTTATAAAGGGTCTATAAAAGGAAATCAGAGAATGAAAATGCAATTCTGCATCCCAGGAGAAATCTGAAGAAGTTCTATTTGGAAGAGTGGAGAGATCAAAGTGGCTAGAGAAAGGATTAAAAATAATTAAACAGTTACAAGGAGTTAATTTAAGTAATTTTTAAGGGAAAAAAATAGTCTTAGAACAACAGACATAATTGGACAGAATTATCCAAACACTCTAAAGCTTAAGAAATTTAAAACAACAAGCCAGACCTAATCCAACAGGCTTGAAGCATGAGAGGCATACAGGGAAAGTAGTAAAGTAAGGCTTGAAACATTTTGTATGCTGTGGAGGTAAGAAATTAAAAAAGATAAAAGGTTCAAATGAAGACAGTTTCATCTATACCACATCCACCAGTATTTATTGATACCTGAGAACCAAGACAGCATTATGGGGAAAAGATTCACATCATGGCATGGGGAATAGAAATATGCACATTGAAAAAGAAAGGAAAACAGCAGAGCAGAGGGAGAAAGAGGAATAAAACCCCCTGTATTTAAAGGCTTCTTCTAAATATGATCTCTCAGAAACACTGGTCAGCTCTTGTTTTTAGCATGTTTCAGTGGTTATTCACTATTTTACCTCCATGCAATACTAAATGACTTTGTTTTTGCACATTTCTCTAAGGATTTTCCCTCCATTTCAAAACCCCTCATATTGATGCTTTCAAAATTATGTAGATGATAGATTTATATTTGTCTGATACTCTGGCTTATTGTCCAAGGAAGCCAGCTCAGGACTCTTGCCCAGCTCTGTCCACTGGGCTGCAAGTTGACCTCCTCTCATGTCTCTTCCAAGCTTTCTCCATCTCACATTTCCCTAATTCCCTAGCCCCCAGCTGGACATTAGCTTTCTGTGGTCCAAATCCATCAGTGTTACACACTGCCTTTATAATTTCTCTTCGTGGAACTCTAATGAAAAAATCACATGTAGATTCTAAAAGAACCAGAAAGGAGCTCCACTTGACAGCACTGATGAAGGAGTTCAGATGTAGATCCCAACAAGCAGAGACTCTAAGCAAAGAGGCAATTATACAATCACAGAACTGTAAAAAAACCACCTAAGACATCATGACAGAACTGAACAGAGAATGTTAAATCTTTTAAATGCATTGTTTCATATGGGCAGCATTGCTTAAGAGTCTCAGTTTACAATTTTGCAGTTCTCTCTCAATAATCACAAGAAAGATGAAGTCTCATTTTTCACTGAAAATTCCTTTTCTGCTAAAATGTGCAAAGGCCTAAAGAAGTGATTGTGTTTACAAATACTCAAGAAACAGTTTCTGCTCCTACACAAGAACATCCTGAGAACAAAAACAGGGAGAAAGAAATTTAGAAAAACATGCTTGTTAAATAGAAGTGGGTTTGTTTTCATTTTTAAATATTATTCAAAAGTCTTCTGAAGACATGACGTGGCCTTTTTTGTCAGTACACAAACCCAATCTTTATGTGATGCTGTTAACCACTGTAATTTAGTTTCAGAAGTCAAACTTGTGAAGTTCTGCTATAGTAACTGTTTCCAGATGGTGAATACAAAAATCAGTTCAAGAGAAGCAATAGAAATAACAAATCTGAGTACTAGGAAATGTTAACTGTACTGCAGGAATTACACTGCTAGCAGAAGTATTAATGGGAGATTAACTTTCCCAACAAATGGATTTTTTTTTCCAAGTCTGAATGGAAGGAAAAATTCTCCATCTCCTCTCCTCCAGCCCCAAAAATGCATTTATAATCTTGCCTAGGCAGTAAAAGAATGTAAAAAGTAACAGGACACTGCTCACCCCTCCATCAGATCCTCCCAAGGACAGTCCCCTCTCTGCTATTCTGTAGGCAAAACAATAACCTCAAATGAGAACTGAAATCTGATTACTTTGTCCTTTAATGTCACTATTTACAACATGTAACTCTTCAGTATTTGATGTATCAGCTATAACCCCACAGAGTTAACAAAAGCTGCAATTTATTTGAAACTGAATCTTGCAGCCTGTCATGAAAATAAAGTACCCGTGTTGCAGAACATATCTGAGCCTGCAGCCCCCTCCATAAATCCCCAAAAACATTTGCTTTCAAATACATTCTGGCCAAGATTAAACACACACAAAAAAAACCCCAAACAGATCTTGATTCTTAGGGGCAGTACAAATAAATCCTTACACTGCAGAAGTGCTGTATCACAAGCAAAAGCCCAGTTGAACTGGAAAGCACAGGCTGGCTGGCCAGCTGCAGATGGCCTTGAGCATCACAGTGATGTTCCCCACTCACAGGATGATTAAGTGCAAATCACCCTCAAAGAGTCTGATCACTTTTCTGCCTGCATCATTTGACAGTGTTCCCTGCTATTTGATTAAAACTCATCTCTTAATGTTCACAGAGGACCACAGGGTCAGAACTAGCTCACGATTACCCAGAAAGACTCAGCTGAAAGGAGGCTTATGTTGTTTTGTTCTGTTTTTAAAGACCAAATGGAACAGAAGGCCAAGGGAAAATGCTTTAAAACTTCATTCATTTGCCTTTATTCTCTGCAACACTCACGGCCCACAGGTCTAGGCAGACTGTGTGAAGAACTGCCCCCACAACAGCAAAAATGGAAAACTGCTTTTAAAAAAAACAAAGGTTCATGTTTTAACCAGTTTAACCCATCCTCTTTCAGCTAATGAGCTTTGTGCTACACCTTAACCACCAGCACACTGCCATTAAACTAAGTTAAAAGAGCTAAGAGAAGAGTTACCTACGGATCCTTTCAGCTTCTTCCCTTGTGATCACTGCATCACTCACACCCCTTCCACACTTTCTGGGAGTGCAGCCTGGAACACAGAGGAAAAGAAAAAAGATTAGCCTTCAAAAAAGGTTCCAAGCAAATATCTATTCTTATTCTCTTACTCCCCTTTCACACCCACAACATTCAGAAAGGATATTGGCAACCTCAGTATTTTCCATCACTTCAACAACAACAAAGTTACATCTCCATTTCCATGTGTTTTGCCTCACAATCAGAGAAGACAACCTAGCCAATGACACTGCTGCTTCTGCACAGATTCAAGTTCCCAGGTCTCAGCTACATCCCTTTCCCTGCTGTGGCTGATGTAATTTAGGTAAATTACGTCAATGAAGCTGACAACTTATTTCCTGTTATGTCCATAATGCACTTAAACAGAATGAAGATGATCTAAAGGGAATCAATAACCACCCCCAAAGCAGCAGAGATGTGGCTGTCATGCATGACCCAGAGCTTCCACTACTCAGGTTAAGCTAAATGCAACACCACACCTTGAAAAACAAATTACTGTTTCTCCTCTTGATCTGAAAATAAGTCTTAAAAACCTTAAGTTTGTCACAAATCTTTAAAAGTTGGTTACAAGCTTTGGGATTAAAACTGATTTACTTATGTCCCTTTGCACACCTACCACTTTGCTTAGTAAGGCAGTGCCAGAGGCATCTGTATCTTCATGTTCCATGTACATGCAGCAAGATAGATCCAGGGATTTTTCCCCTTCTTTCCAAGCACAATAGTGAAAGCAAGTTTCTGTTTATATAACTGGTTTCTTAAAGGAAGAAGATTTAAACTTATTTCATCTCACACACTCTATTCTAGCCTTTGGGCAGGCAGGGCAAGAACCAGAGAGCTCAAGTGCCGCACAGATCCTTCCATCTCAGGCAGACAGGTTAAAAAAATCAGCCAAGACTTCTAGCAACTAAAATCACTTACCAGGTATCCATACAGTCTCATGTGTCCATAGAGAATTTTTCCTTACAGTCCAGGTAGGTAAGTAATCACATCATAGACAAAGACCCAGTACACACCACTCTCAGGTACCATACAGAATATGACAAGTGTTCTGTCCCAAAACCAAACAGTCTCAACAGGGTAAAGAAACTGAATTGTCCTCAAGAAAAATAAAATGTAGAGGACATTCCCTAACTATCCCCTCTGCAACCAGAAAGGCTAGGCACAGTTGTGGAAATTCTCATGTTTTTTCAATATCAATTCCAGGAACCAATGATTTACAAGTTAAACACCACAGATCTTGTAATAAAAACACAGGCATTGGGAATGCTTGCTGTATTCCTTTGGAGCACATGACCTAGCAGTTACCAAAAGCAACAAGTAGTAATTAGCAAATGCTGCAAACTACTTCTTGTCTTTCCCAACGAAAAACATACACATACTGTGTCTTGAAGGCTTCATCATACATGCAGCAGTGGCAGATTAAAATCAGTCATTCACTCTTGAATGCCAGGCTGAAGAGCATCTCAGAAGCCACTTGACAGGGATGAGAAATCCCTGCCTCCAGGCTATATATACTCACTCAAAGAGTGAAACAGATGGTTGAGGCAGTAACAGCTTCCACCACCCAATTTTAAACTCAGATGCATGTAAAAAAACCCAAAACAGTCACAGAGAAACCAATTTGGGTTCACAGAACTGAAGGAAAAAAAACCAACAACAACCCCTTACAAAACATTTAGTCAGTAACCATAAGATTCAATGAAAGATTTGCAGGACAAGTAGGACCCACAAATCATACAACATATACTCTGTGCTGTACTCAGTGTTCTGGTGGGTATAGAGATGTTAGCAAGTTTACAAAGCACAAGTTTGGATATTGCCAGTACACTCTAAGAATCCTGTTAAAAAACAGGATTAAAAAAGGCTGAGGTAACAGGCTGATTAAAAAAATGAGATGAAGGAGTGTGGGAGAAAGCTGGATACAGAAAGCCAAGGAAGTTCTTGGCTAAGACAGACAAGAAAAAAGGAATGACTTACATTCTGCCACTGAAAGGTCTCCTTAATGGTGGAAAGGCAAAGAAAATTGTCTTAGGGATAAGGGAGAGAGAAGTAGGAAAGGGTAAATTCAAAGGACAGCATCGATACTGCAGGACAAATTTGACTAAAGAGATTTTTCTTTACATGATGTTCTGCAAAAAGGGCACTAGTGAATACTTCTGGTTTCAAAAGAGATTTGTGCTTTCTATCTCCCACAGCAAACAACAGCACAGATCTTACCCTTTTGGAAAGGTTGGTACTGGAGAGTCCAGCTTTGGCAAAATTGCAGGGTTACCTAGGACAATTGTTATATGTCTAAGGACTCTGACAAAGAGCTGACAAAAACACTCCTGGAAGCAGGAGGTGTGCTGAAGGTAACAACAAAAGCTTTTCCAAACTGAGAAGAAGAACAATAAAAAGATAGTCCAGCTTCAAGTCAGTCAGGTCCCAGCAGTAAGGCACAAACACTGGATGAATGCTAGGGAAAAAGAGAACAGTCTGTCTGTTTGAAAACAGTTTCAGCATTAATAAATGTGTTGTTTTTGTCTAAGAGACCACAGGACACTGGAGCACTGAAATGTTAAATGTTGGAGAACCTGCACTTGGGAGAAATTCAGTTTAGCATCACAATGTACCCAATACCATCCACAAATTTGTGCCTATTAGACACAAAAATCATTCACCTACCTAACAAGGCTCTTGTCTTTGGATCCAAGAGTTGTATTTTTTTAGTCAAGGTAAAGGAGGAACATACCACAACATGTAAAACCACAAGTCCTCCCTGTAGCCCCTGTTGCTACTCAGCACACACAAAACGGAATGTAACTCAGAGCCCAAGAGCCTGAACTGCAGCTTTGTCTCCTGCTTAAAGTGGCACTTGCCCAAGCACCACAGGCTGCTGAAACCAGGATGATTCTCCAGAGGAAAAAGCCCCCTCATTACACTCCCCCAGTGCAATCCACCTTGAAGCAGGACAAGAGGAGGCAAAGATCTATTTGATGCCACCACCATAACCACACCAGCAGAGTGGGTGCTGGAGCTTTTCCTCCACTGCTCAAGCTTCTCTGCTTTCCACATCCACTCACCTAGTCTCTGGAACAGCATCTTACAGCTGCCTCCTGGGCAGTGGTCATGGGTGCTTTGTACACTGACACAGTAGGTCAACACACACAAGAGACCACACAGGAGTTTCACCACACACACTAGTAGCCACAGGAGTTTTAAGTATTTAACCATGTCTCAAGAGCAGAAATAGCCAAGGTCTGGCCACAGGGTTAAGAATGCAGATGAGACTGTTCACACAACACCCCATCTTCTGCAAATATAATAAGATAAATGTTTGGCCTCTGAAAAATAACACATTTTATGTCTGTATGACACCAACTACCATATCATTTGAAGCAGACTAGAAGCTCAGCTGCACTAGCCCAGTTTGAAACAGGGACAGGTGCATAAATAAAAAGCTCATCTCAGCTGTGGAAACTTCCCAGCTCAGTACCAGGCACCAAGTCATGACAGGAATGTGCCTTCTCCTGACAGAGCCAGCAGCTGTGGATATCAAGCCACGGCAAAGACAGAGAATGAAGAACTACTGAGTGAAAGGAAGCTACTTCCAACAAAGCGACTAAAGCTGCAGAGCTGAATCCTGTTTGGCAGAGAACCCTAATCCACACTGACTGCCTCCCCAGGCGATCAGTAACACTCCCGGGAAGCAGGGAGCCAGCTTTGCTGGGACAGCAGGCTCAGCAGTTCACCACCACCCTCTCGTGGGCACCCAGCAAAGTTCACTACCCCAGCACGGCTTCAATTCACCACTTAACCAGATGTTCACACACGTCTAATACCACCGACCTCTTTCTGAAAGCACAGTACAGGGGAACACGTGTAAAAACATCTGCTGAAACCATAAAAAGCCATCACAGACGTTAAGAAGCAGCAGCAATCAAACATCTCATCAGAAAGCCGGAACACAAGCCCACAGAAGATGATGACACCCCCTCCTGGGGCGGTGCAGCTAAGTCAGTCACTCTCACAGAAAGCCAAGAGAGGTCACACTTCACCTGCAGTCTGCATCTGCAGAGCTGGCTCCGCATGACATAAGAATAGGGAACACATTCCCTCCTCTTCCCGAACAGAGATATCTTAAAGCTCCTGCCCTCCTTATCTCTGGCCTTGGCACTATGCAGATAAAGCCAAAGGCAGTTTCTCTTTAGAGTAACTATGACAGTTAAAACATGTTTTCATGTGCTCAGCCAAAAAAATCCCCCTACTGAAGAAGTTTGTGTGGCAGCTTCCCGACAGTTTCTTTGCCTTGGTGTCTTTTGGGATAAACTCTCCAAAACCCTATCAAGCAAGATACTACAACAGCCATGCAACTTGTACCCATTGCCCCTTGTCTGCTCCACATGGCTCCTCATGCAGGAAAAGCCTTCATCCTCTTTGTAGCCACCCTTGAAGTACTGAACTACTGTGATGTGGTCTCCCCTGAGCCTTCCCTTCTCCAGGGAAGAGACCCACTTCTTCAGTCTTTCCTCACAGAGCAGGTTCTCCAGCCCTCTCATCATCTTTGTTCTTCCTCAATTATAAGCAGCTTCTTCCAGCCTCCCCACTGCCTCCAGCTTTGTGTCAGCACATGTTTTATTAGCCATATATTGGACCAGATCAGACAACTGGTTTGGCTAAAAGCTACTTCAAAAATCTATTTTGTTTTTTAAACGCAATAACCAACAGTCAGCACACAGACTGACATACAGGTAGGCTGACAAAAAAATCAAGAGCAGAGCTGCTTTCTGGAAGCAGTACTAGCTCCAGAAGTTTATCAAGATACACGTTTCAAATCTGGAACAGAACATGAGCACACCTCACCCATGTTAGGCTCTCACTAGCTCTTGATCACAGACTGAAGTTTTCCATTTCTCTGGAGGATCCAACAGCAACACTCCAAAGAAATAACTGCCAGGGGAAACAAACACCTATCTGACAGAAAACAGGCCCAGCCAAAACATGTGAACACAGAGAAACGCTTTGCAGGCACCATTAAAAGCTGCTGCCACACACATGCACCTCTGAACAAGTGGCATTTCTGCAACTACTGTGGCACAGACAATATCCTAACTCAGTTCCACTCCATAACCTGTAGGGAGTTTAAAGGTAAAACTCACCCACAAGCCCATTACAGGAATCAGCAGAGAAGGCACCAGAAGCAGAGTTAGCAAAAGGTCTCTCTCACACAGCCTAAGCAAAGCAATTTCAGAGGAATATGATGTAGGACTGACAGAAAAAGCCTCCTAGGAACAACAATTTCTAAGGTGGCCCAAGAAGCACTAAATGTTTGGGGACTTAAACACCAGAGTGAGCAGCAGGTTGCTAGAAACCCAAGCTTTGCAGCCCAGACCCGATGGAACAGGCCGAGGCAGCAGCCAGCCCTGCCCGGGCCTCCACAGCCCGCCCAGCCCTCCGGGCAGCCCTTCCAAGTACCTTCGAATCTTTTGTGGCCCTCGTAGTCCTCAGAGCAGGGGATCTCCACGAACTTGTCCTGCAGGCTCTCGCCGTGCCGAGCCAGCACCTCCAGGGCCCCATCCTCGGCGCGCAGGCAGCTC